TGTTTCCCTATGTGCAAAGCTATATGAAGATCATTGGATGTGTTTTGGGAATTAGATTGTTATGCCCCGATTTTTTTCTTTCGTTCGAGTACCGTGACGTCATTCTTAATAACTTATGTCATGAACAAAAATACGAACTTAAAATTTCAAACACACATAATATGTTTAACATAATTCGTTACATAATTACGGAAGCGTAAAATACTTTAACATAGTCAATGCTAATTAAATATCTAATCAAGCATGATTCGAAACATAGTTTCCTCTTTCTTCATTCAACGCGTCTACTGACATTTGATACCTGAGATATATACATGCATAGTATAAGCTAAAAGCTTAGTGAATACAATATGGTTTCATGATCACATGCACACATAAACAGTGTTTTAGTGTATTTTAGTTATTATCTTGCAAGTGAGGCCCGGTCGTCATTTTTCTTTGCGTATGTGGCGTATTCTATGGACGAGGACTCCAAGACCTCGGAATTGCAAGCCCTCCTTTCATGTCCAACCCACCCCGTACGATGGACGAATCTTGCCGAATCATACTAGTTGCATATCATTTATTTGCAATACTCACTCATTGATGCAAATCTCATCGTGACATGCACATATAAACAATGTTTAGTGTATTTTAGTTATTATCTTGCAAGTGAGGTCTCGACTCATCACTTTTCTTTGCGTATGTAGCGTATTCTATGGACGAGGACTCCAAGACCTCGGAATTACAAGCCCTCTTTTCATGTCCAACCCACCCCGTTCGGTGGACGAATCTTGCCGAATCATACTAGTTGTATATCATTTATTTGCAATACTCACTCATTAATGCAAATCTCATCGTGACATGCAACATACATATCATGCAAGTGACAACATAAATCACATATGCATCATCGTCATTTTTCACATTATACACATACTTAAATATCATAATGATAATATCAAGTCATCATAATCTTTCTCATCAACATCATCTTTCATATCATGCATATACTTAAATATCATGTACAACAATACAATCAAGTTATCATCATATGCATATAACCACATCATGCAAATATCATGGATAAAATACTTTGTAATAATCATGTATATATCCCATAAAAATCGCATAATGTACTCACTTTGAATCGTTAACGTTCGATAGGTCGTTCTCTCAAAAACGACAACCTACATGATAATTTATACCATTCCTAAGCATCTTAAATAATCGTAATTAAATTGATTACTATTCCTTAACAATGTTAACACGACTTTTCCTTTTATTGATTAACCCCCGATAACATCATATCTCATGTTTCACTCCAATATTTTCTTGAAATATTATTAATAATGTGACGTCGTTATAATATTAATTGTTGCTAGTTCATTTTATAAAAATAAGCAATACATTTCACATTTTCTTGAACAATAAGTATTTTACCAAAATAACTATACTAAATAGTTCACAATGTAAATAATATTTTGTGGTCAAAACGTCTCTTTTAAAATTTGTAAGTGAATAACGGTGAGAACATGTCACACACATATAAATAACGGTCATTCCATAACTTTAAAGTTCAACGTAATTAATACCCAAAATAATGCTTAGAATACCAATTTTCCAAGTCTAGGGGCATTTTGGTAAATCTTAAGAAGCCGAATACCAAAGGTATAACTTTAACTAATTCCCTAATTTAGAACATTCTTGGTATATTCATATGTCGAATATTAAAACTGTGCTTAAAAGTCCAATCCCAAAGCATAGGGGAATTTTGGTAATTTTATTAAGCAATACTCAAAGTATTGTTAAAATACTGATTCCCTAATTGTGAGGTCATTTTGGTAATTTCACAAGGATAACAATCAAAATAAAGCTTAGATACCAATTCCCAAGATATAGGGTCATTTCGGTAATTTATAGGGCGAATACGTAAAGTATCGCTAAAATACCGATTTCCAAGTTGTAGGGTCATTTTGGTAACTAAACAAGATGAATAATCGAAATTGGGTCAAAGATTGCATTTTACAAAATATAATAGACTTGATGAAAGTCTCATAAAATTATATTGGATAAAAAATATTTTCTAGAACTTCAGGGGGTTAAATGTTAATCTCTGAAACATAAACATTTAATTAATATTAATAATATCAGAGCATCAGATAAACAAAACTCGATGTTAGCTTACTGGTTAGTGCTCGAGGGTTTCATGGCTGAGGTCATGGGTTTGAATCCCGTCCTTATTGCCTTTATTCCCATTTCTTTTTAAAGGTAAACGGACGCGGGTCTTGGGCTAGGCCGACCCGGTCCGTGACCCAACAATGAAAACAGTAACAAAAAAAAAAAAAGGAAATGGCAGCAGCCAAAACAGAAAAGAAAAGCAGTCAAGGCCTGCACGTTTTCAAGCTTAAAAAACTTGAAAATGGTTCGTTTCTTTACCTTTTTCTTCATTCTTTTTGCGCCAAACTCTTGGTAATATTTTTACCAACACTTTGACATAAAGAACACGAATTTTTATCAAGAAATGAGTTCCATTTACTCATTTAAAGTTTGTTTTTAAAACTAAAACTCAACAACTTAAAAACATAAAAATCGAACAACAAAAACACAAATATGAGACATGAGGCTACTCAGTTTGATAGAGTACTTAAAAACAAAGTCATAGACATAAAAATCAAGAGATTTGGTTAAGAATCTCACCTAAAATCGGTGAAAAACGGAGATTTTCAATTCCGAACTTCAAACTCAGATTTCTCTCTCAAAACTCAACGATTTTTCGAGCTATTTGAACCAAAACGTTCCTAAGCCAGAGCTCTACAATTTATATGCCAAGAGTTTTGGATTATTAGTTGAAGAAAATTGGACAAGTCGCGAGTTTTAGGCTGATGGGTCGTTTTCTCCAAACAGTTATGTACTTTTGACAAAAAACAGGTCCCTCAACTTTGAAAAAGATGACATTTTCTCCCCTGAACTTTCTGATATTTAGAACTAAACCTCTCCTGATGTGATATCACATTTTTGGTCCAATAATTAAAAAAAACAATTTTATTTTATTTTTCTTTTTGTCTTTCTTTTCATTATTTATTTATTTAAGATTTTGTACAATTATTTCATTTAGTTTATTACGTAAATATTTTAACATTTCAAATAAATTAAAAAATATATTTAAAGGCTCATATAATATTATTTATATATTTAAAAAAAAAATGGGTTTTACAACTCTCTCCCCTTGAAAGAAAATTTCGTCCTCGGAATTTCTACTTAATTTTGTCATACTTATTTTTTTTCTTTATTCTAGATTTCTTCTATCACGAGATAATCTTTTGGTCACTCATTCTTATTCTAATCATCTATTCATTTCAGTCTTACATGCATGGCCAATTCGTACCTATTATAGTTTAATCCTCTAATGTCCATAATAACAATTGAATCCCAAATTTTCAACCATTGATTGGTAACACGCCAATAATATGCCTATTAATTATAGTATATTTATCACCAATGATAATCTGTAAATTGTGACAAGGTAATTCAACTAAAAACAATTGAACTTAAGACGAGTTAATTGGCACACAAAACTAGTAAATTCATGCTTAGGTATTTGATAATTAACAAAGTACTTGATACCGCGCATGGTGCAACCTATGCTTCTTCAGCAGTCATTTGAAAAACTCGTCCTTTGGTTTTAGGCACCTCAGATTTCTTACCGTTTGGTCCTTCGAGTAACTTCGGTTGCACAAGATCCTTTTTGGGACACTCATTGGAGCGATGTCCGACAGCCCCACAAGAATAACAAGTAAATCTTGTTTTGCATTCCTTTGACATATGACCAGGTTTCCCACAACTAAAACATACTCCTTTACCATACCTACATTCACCATGATAGAATTTTCCGCAAGTGACATGCGGTCGAAGTTCTAATATTTTCTTCCGAAACTCGAATTTTCTTGGACTCGTTAACGTTGACAGCTTTCCTCTTCAATATCTTATTAGTGGCATCTGGAACATAACTATCATTTTCAGCAAATGTGGCAAGTTCAACCGCCTCTTGGAAAGTCTTAGGTTTTGACATTCCCTCCAATCTCCTAATATCCCTTTTTAGTCCATCAACAAATCGATCTACCTTTCTCTTCTCGGGAAYGACTTGATGTTCAGCAAATCGAGATTTCTCTATAAAAGTCTCTACATATTTCTCTACAGTCATACCTCCTTGCTCTAAACGTAAAAACTCACTTTCTAATATCCTCATCTGGAGTGGAGAGAAATACCTCTCACTCATTAATCCTTTAAACTCATCTCAAGAGAGAGATGCAGTGTTTGCCTATCCCCTAGTGGCACGAACTGATTTCCACCAATGTAGTGCATTTGACTTAAACATAGTTGATGCAAACTGTGCCATGTCACTAGGTGCACAATGACAAGTCAGAAAGCAAAATTCTATCTCGTCTAACTAGTTCATAGCTGCTAGAGGCCCATTTTTCCCCTCGAAAATAGAAGGACAGCTGCTAGTGAAGGATTTGTAACTACATCCTTTGTTATCAGGTTTCTTAACTTCTTTATGGTCGGAGTGTGCCTCCCCGTTCGACTCCTCATGATTGTGAGATTCATTATTAGTCGAATCCTTAATTTCATAAGTTTCATTTTTTGAAGGTCTATTATGCTTCAAACGATCTTATACCATCTTAAGTGTTGTAGTTTGGATCTGCTCAAGCATTCCAGGTAAAGCAGTGCGTATACAACGTGCCATCTCTTCGGCAATGTTCACTTCTGGCTGTGTAGGCTGAATCGGTGGTCTACTAGGACCACTTTGGCTTCTGGTTGGGGTTGAGGTCACTCCCTCGACTCTATTATTTATATATTTTAAAAAAAATGGGTTTTATGTTATGTAGTACAAGAGCATGTATTTTGGAATTTTTGGACTCTGTATTTGTAATATTGTTCTTGTACTTTAGACCTTGGTGGGATTTAACATGTATTATCTGTATGAATTATATGTTATATGCAAAGTGAGTTTAGGGGTGTTACACACATGCTTCACAAATATGGTTAAGAGGAGTAACAAAAGGCAGTCCTTTTACCAATTCATGTTTATGCATGAGAGATAGGGTGTTGAGATTGACATGTCCAAATCTCTTATGCCACAGAAGTGAAGTGTCCTTAACGTTTATGGCTAAGGCAAGAAAGCTCTCATTGTCAAATCTTATTGGGAACATTTTGTTGCTAGTCATAATGATTCTACCAATTGGTGAGTTTGTAGAATCAGTAACTTCACAACACCCATCTTTGAATACCAATCTATATCCCTTGAGTATGAGTTGTCCCACACTTAATAAATTATGCTTTAGACCAGGGACATAGAAGACATCAGAAATCCTCTTGTCTTTGTTCCTGATTTTAATTGAGATATCCCCATTCCCATATACAATGAGTTTTTTATCATCTCCTGTTCTCACATCCTTCTTTTTGGATTCTTCTAAATTGAGAAACAAATCCTTGTTTCCTGTCATATGATTGCTACACCCATTGTCTAAGTACCACAGATCACTCATGCTTTTCTCTTGTATACTTAGCATCATAAACATAGTGTCATCATTTTGACTGTCCTCTTTGCGTATAAAATTAGAGGTCTTATTCTCCTCAAATATTCTTTTCCTACAGAATTTTATTGTATGACCAAGCTTATCACAATACAAACACTTGATTTGAGTAAAAGACTTACCTCTACCTTTGCCTTTGAAGTTCCCTGATGTTTGTTCTTCTCCGCCGAAGTCCACTCCTTTTTGTTTTTCATTTGTGCTTGACTCCCAATGCGATTGAGTCTGGAATGCATGCTCCATCATGGGGACCTCAAACTGTTTCATACGGAGTTCATGATACTGTAATGTGCCCAAGAGAGTTTCTAAGGAGAAATTTGATAAATCCTTAGATTCTTCAATGGCGACTACTACATATTCAAACTTTTTGGTGAAGCTATGAAGTATTTTTTTCAACTATGCTTCTATCACTAATATTTTCCCCCATTAAGTCTCATTTGGTTAGTAGAACAATAACTCTTGTGTAGTACTCCTCGATTGACTCAGTTTCCTTCATCTTGAGATTATCAAACTCACATCTTAGTGTTTGTAATCTCACAGTTTTAACCTTCTCTTCTCCTCTATAGGATTTATAAAGCAGCGCTTCTTTGGCAGACTAGGATGATGAGATTCTTTCAAAGATGCTATCGTCCACAGCCTGATAGATTAATAACAGGGCTCTCTTATCTTTCCTTCTTGTTTCATTGAGGATACTAGTCTGCAGGGCAGTAGGTGCTGTCGAGTTTTCTGGTTCTATGATTCCTTCTTCGATAATGGATCATAGGTCTTGTGACTTAAACATCACCTTCATTTAGATGCTCCAATGGAAGTAATTCCTTCCATTTAATCAGGGTAATTGTGTCTGTGATTGGGGTAGTAAGGGGTTTGTAATTTTGTCTGTGATTGGGGTAGTAAGGGGTTTTGAGAAGAAGAAGCCATACATATGTGGCTCTGATACCATATGTTGGATAATTAAAACTATGAAAAACAGAACAAAGTTTACACAAACATAACAAACTTTATTTCCATTTAAAAGACATCATATCCAAAAAAATACATCAACCAAACAAAGAACAATGATCAAACATAAATAGACTACGAAAGAAGTATCCGTTAACTAACGGATTGTGAACAGTGCAGAAATGAATAAGATGATGTTTAGCTTATAAATCAACAGATGCTCTAATAGCATGCTCGGATATAACTGCTCCTTCTTCTGGTTTCTCCTAGATCCCTCCTTTGGTGAAAATTTGCATTCTCTAGTTCGACATGTTCATTGGGCTGGAAGTTCGTTTAAAATTCATGAAGGTGAGAGGTGGCTGGAATCTGATCCGTCACCGGAATCTAAGTGGCCGGCACTCAAGTTTGGAAACCAGTCATGCACTGAAAATAGAGAGGATACTCTTTCCTTTTTTTTTTGACGTCTATATGCGGTAAGAACATCAGAGAGATTGAGAGAGAAAAGAGGTTTACTTTGCAAATCACGTTATTTGTATAAACTGTACAAACATCATTCAACCAATCATAAATTTTTCATTTTGTTCATTGTTTTTGTAATTATGAGAGGATGATTAATCATTTTTATTGTGGAGGGTGTTAATCATGGATATTATCATCTTCATTATATTAATTTTAGAGAAATACATAAAACAGTTTCATTAAAATTTCATAAATATTATATAAAACAATTTTATAACCATATAATAAACAACTTCAAAAAAAAGTATTATAGGAAACAATTTCATAACATTAAACAATTTTATGATTTTTTTTTTTCATAAGATTAAACAATGAAATTGACGAATGAAGGTGATTTGCACGGTTTGTAAAAACATGGGTGGTTTACATTTGATAGCTTTTATATATATATATATATATATATATATGTGTGTGTGTGTGTGTGTGTGTGTGTGTATATGAGGAACTTTTTTTAAAAACTTTTTAATTTATGAGATACGTGAGATCTAATTTAAAACACAAAAAATTAATTAAAAAAATCTAAAGTAAATTAAAACTCTTCCTCTCTCATCTCTCTCCCCTCCTTATTTTTCTCATATTTTCTCTATCATATCTTTTTTCTCCATAACATACACGTATATATTCAATTGAATATGAAATCAAGGTAAACACATTGTGAACACTTTTTTAGAAATACTTTTATGATTTGTGAATGCATTGTGAACACACTCTAAATCTATGATCTGATGTAGTTTGTGAATATATTATGAACACAAGCTAAATCAATAAACTAAATTTAAATATAACTTTTGTGAACACCCTAGTAAAAAAATTATTAAGGTTTTCTACATTGTGTTCATAATGTGTTCATCTTGTATGCACGATGTGTATGTTAATACAGAGATGAGAGAGAGAAAGAGATAAGTATGAAAATTTTCTTAAAGATACATTAATTTTGATTTAAAACTAGAAGGATACTCGCACAATGCAACGTGATACATCTCGATTTTAATGTTTCGTTTTATTTATTTCTTTGTCTCAGTCGATGTTATAATACGGTTTTATGTGGTTTTGATAAAACGATAATGTTTTTATTTTTTAATAAAATATAAATATGAAAATATCATAAAAAATGAAAAAAATATTGATATTAGTATCAAACTAACTATTTAATTTTTTTTTTGTGTATTTCTTTAATTCATTTTTTTATTTGTGTTTAATCATATAACTTTTGTATTGATAATAATTAAGTATTTTATTAGAAGTTAATGATTATCCTAATTATATTTTTTTTTTGTGTATTTCTTTAATTCATTTTTTTATTTTTGTTTAATAATATAATTTTTGTATTGATAATAATTWAGTATTTTATTAAAAGTTAATGATTATCCTAATTATATTTTAGATTTTTTATATTTAAAATGAGATATTTATCATGTATTGTATTATGTTTATCTGTAGTTAGTTAGACGGTTTCAAACATGAAGCTTTAATAAGTTATATTTATGCACATTTTAGGGGCTGTTTGACAGTTGCTGAATGATTTAGTTCAGAATAGTTAAGAGGTTAGAATGGCTAAGAGGATCAGAATGGTTAAGTGCTGAATGAAACAAGGTTGTTTGGTAATTGTTCTCTGAATGACAGCAAATTACCATTTTAACCCTAGTTATGATATAGTACTGAATAAACCAACATACAATTACCAAAGATGATGTTTCTTCATATCAGTATCAAATCCTCAAGAAATTGMAAAATGTCGGTAATCCAATCATCATTAACATTGTTACAAACATGAAATAAGCAATAAACACCATCAATTTCCAAAGAAAAATGATAAATTCCCTAAACCAAACCCTAGATTTATGCAAGATCAAGAAACCGAGACCTGCTGGAAGAAACTGAAATTAACATTGTTACAAACATGAGAGGAGAGGATGCGACGTGAGACCTGCTGGAAGAAGGCGGAGACGGCGACGTGAGGCGGCGACGAGCGGCGGCGACGACAGACCTGTTGGAAGAAGGCGACGTGGGGGGAGGGGCTGGGATTTGAAGACCAGCGACGTGGGGGGAGGGGCTGTGAAGAAGAAGCGATGTGTGCTGTTGGTAGTTATGGAAGACCGACGAGGGGGGGGAAGACGGTGATGGAGGGGGGGAAGACGGTGATGGAGGGGGATGGATGTGAAGAAGGGAGGGCATAGTTGGAAAAATGAACATCTGAATGGTTTAGTGAGGTAGTGGATGCAAAATGGTTAAGAGGTTATTGTAATCATTAAGAGGGTTGTTTTTTTTTTTTGCCAAACAGATTTAACCTCTTACCGATTAAGAGGTTGGCTCTTAATGTAACCATTAAGTGCCAAACAAACAGCCCCTTACTTGTAATCTTGAATTTTAAGTAATATGCATCAACAAACAGTACTTCATGTATAAAAAATGGTTTTTAAAAGTTTTTGTTAAATGCTTTATAATATAGTATAGAAAAGGATAATTATCGCCTTAATTATTCTAAATAATTAATAAAATTAATTTTTATCAATATGTGACTTAGGATGGATCTCATGGATCTCACATATTGGAGTTCTAAAAAAATACTAAGTTCGTATATATAAAGATCGTATGAGAAATAGAGTTAAGTTGACAAGTGTGAGAAGTGATTTTAGACCATTGATCACCTTTAATCTCGAACTCATATATGAATCGTTTGATATGAGAATTAATCTGGTGCATCTCACATCGGTACATCTCATCTTAATATGCATTTAAGAATGTATATCATTCCTTACGCTTTTCATTCTAACTCTTTTTTTCACCTGAACTCAACCATATATAAATGTACATTATTACAATTGTCTAAAAAAATAATTTATCATAAAAATTACAAAAGTTACATATCATGTTACATCACATAACATCAAGCAAATGACAACCAAAAAGAAAGAAAGAAAAACAATTCTTAATTTTGATCACTAGGAAATTAATTAATTAATGTTGAGAGGATTTGATACATTATTTAATTAATTATAGGTAATTATTTAATAATTTGAGAGCATTAGTCAAATTACAAGATTAATGATGACATATCATATCAAATCAAGGCTCTCAAAACATTGAAGAAATCATGTCTGTAACCATTGGCATGGAAATGATTAGTTGGAATAATCTTGGTGTAGACATAAAACGCCATGCAAGCGATGGTAGGGCCTGCCCAGAACACCCAGTGGCCATCCCATAAATGACCTCCTCTAATCATGGCTGGTCCCAAACATCTCGCTGGATTCATCCCTGCACCAGAATAACCTTTCTTTCCTGTTAGACTCGTCGAGATAAACACAAGAAGTCCCAACACAATTCCAATTACCGAGAACACGATAACATGACCCCCCAAAGCCTTTGCTTGCCGATGGTCGTATGCCATCCAAATAGAAGCGAAAAGGAAGATGAAAGTGCAAATTATTTCGAGCCAAAGGGCTTGGCTCGTTTCCATGCCCATTGGTCCGATTGGGCCAATAGTACACCCTCCGAGTGCAAAAGTCTGCTCGATGTTGGTGCTCACAACAGCTTGAAGAGCTAGTGCACCAAGTAGAGCACCCACACATTGTGCAAGTATGTAGATGAAGGCTCGAGAGAGGGAAATGAGACCAACAAGGGCTGCTGAGAAGGATATGACTGGATTCATGTGTCCACCTGAAATTGGGCAAACCGCTAGGAGAAGGATGGTGATGGTGATGGCAATCAGGATGGACATTAAAACATTTGGTGTTTTCGTTTGGGTCTCAACCGATGAAATGACTATTGTGTCTAACATGAACACTAGAACAGCCGTGCCAAGTAACTCTCCAACCGATGCCCGCCAAACCTAATGGAAATTTTGGATTATTAATATTAATTTCTTAACACAAAATTTTAATTCAACTTTAATGATTGTATAAAGATATATAACATAAAATGTGAATTAAACACAAAAAGATGTACAATATATATAAACTGAATTTGAGTAGATATACTGACATTCAAGGAATAAAGATCCTCCAAACCCAACCTATCTCCCAAAGTAAGAGAATCTGATCCCTTCTTTCTTTGATCAACTTCCCATGGCTCTATCCTGCAAAACATGATCAAAAGTGAAATGACAACGTTGCCCCTTCAAGATATGGCATTTGGTAAAAAAATTCAAAGACGATGGAGGGCTAAATGTGGAAATTGCCTAGGTGTGGATGAGAAGGGTTGAACTCTATTCGCACAAGAAAGGCTTTCTTCATCAACCACCACTTGCCCACCATTTGTTGCCATCACTTAAAAGAGCTCCTTTGCTAGATGTGTTACGAACTCAAGGGATTTATATACACAATCAAATCCATGTCCACCGTTGGATCATTATATAAGGGTGTATCTTCAAATTAATAATATGTAATATGCATATATATATATATATATATATATATGTATATATATATATATATAT